ACGATAAGATACGTGCGATTGGCTTCCTTTGGTCTCGCGGCAACGGGCTAATCGAATTGTGACTTATTGTTGAGCCAACAATTGTAAAATTCATACTCAAAATACGAGCAGGGTCACGTTCGTTAGAACTTTCTGGCATACGTTTTGAATGTTAGCCTCAGTCTCGTTCAAAAGATCGAGCCAATAGCAATTTTCAATGCTTTCAACAATTGACAACGTAGAACGGTATCAATTTGCATTGGTAAACCGATCACTTATTGTCCTGCTGGCAGTTCAAATCGACCGTGTTGAAAGTTGACTAGCTCGTATAGTTTGTTTCCGATTAGCAACGCGTGCTTTGCCACTCAGGTTGGTAAGTGAAATATCGATGTTAATACGGTATCTAACATCGTACGGTTCTGCAATCGGCTTTTCTCTATTTGCATGCAATGCTTTGCTAGACGTGACGATGCGTTAACCGATTCGAAATCCGGAATCTTATCACGAGACAATGAAGATGATATGATTCGGTGGATACTAGGAATTTAGAAAAAGATATTATTTATCAAGTTAAATTACAATCGTGTATTTATATTGTTGTAGGTCGAAATGATGCCTTAACTCAATTAAATTGTATTATAACATTATAACATATAACATAATAATAAAAATATATTATATGAACAACTCAAGAGTGTTAATATCTTGTAATCAGATGCTGCAGATTAATGTTACCTAACGATGAATTTCCAAAACCTAAAAACAGGTATTAATTTGTTCAAATATAATAACATCATCTTTGACATTTCTCTAGGTTTTCATTTGAAGCCGCTTTTGTTTAAATATAATATAAACAAAAAATCGAAACAACTGTGAGATACATGTATACTCAGTCTGAACGACATTTATCTTAATCGCACGATGATACAAAATGTACATACATCGTTGGTTCTTTAAAAAAGAGTAAACTTGTATTTAATTAGTATTGAATATTTGGACTTTCTTTTCGAATGATTTTAAAGAATTGAACTTCGTTAAAATTTAAATTCAAGAAATTATTAAGGTTTAAAACATTGTAATTTTGGACTCTTGAAATAATAAAAATATTTCAAAACCAAAAATCTCACGATAGCATGAAAATTTGAAGTTTAATTAAAATGATTTTATTTGTACATAACAATATATATTAATTTCGAAATTTCGAAGTTACGAAATGTAGAAAATTGGCAATTTAAAAATTTAGAAGTTTCCAAAGTTTGGAAATTTGAAGATTCAAATTTCAAATTCAAAGATTTGAATTTGAAAGTTTGGGTTTTTGCAAATTTGAGGTTTTGTAAATTTGAAAATTTCGAAATATGGCTTAAAAATACAGAATTTGGTAATTTCGGAATTTAGAATTTCAAAAATCTGAGAATTTGTAGGTTTAGAAATTTCGGAATTTACTTACACTTTTTGTTATCCTCGAATCTGACGATCAGTCGTAATACTCCCACGCTGAATCACACCCATAAAAATTTCACTCGAAAAATATGTAAAGTACATCGTAAACCGCACCATATCATTCCATACGCGAATTTAAAGCCGATAACGCTGTTGGGTCTACCGACAAAGAGCTCGAGGACCACCACGGGGATAATTAATACGCATTAATTGCTTGCGCGCGTGAGTACATCTATGAGTGGTGGCGATGTATGTGTTCGGACTCGAGCTGTCACGGCGATTCGATACGATCGTTCGTGCAATTCGCACGTCAGTCACGCGTGAACGAACACACGTCTTGCCACACAGGACCAGTAAGAGCATATGTGTGCCACACTATGACTCGCATCTTATTGTTAGGTTACGTTTTCGTGTGCTAGTACATCCCTGTATCTAACAATATCACATAATGTCATGTCACATATCACAAAATGTCATGTCACATATCACAAAATGTCATGACTTCTATCGTTTTAAAATCTACAAACATTATCATGGCATTAGATATCTTATCACAATTTCAACCTATCCAATCCAATCTTACATTTTGCTATCATAACTTCTGTCATCGCATAGATTGAATTTTGTATTCTAATTTTAATTTAAACGCGTCAAATTTTATAGTTCACTATCATGTCTCGAAATTTCATAACATTCATTGCCGTTTAAAGTAGAAGTTGAGTTCTGATGAAATTATCATCAATAGCGGATCATAGTACTTTCCATCGATCGCTATTATATTTGATGACTGGGGTTTTGTTTAAATTGAAATATTAGTAATCAATCTGAATATATTGAGCGGTACAACATAATTGAAATGCACACTAGTTGTTATTTCCTTAGTCTCATTATTAATATTTATCAATCCAAAGTATGATATTATAACTAAATCATGTTTGCCGACACCTGTCCTTATGTATTTATTTCTTAATTATATGATCACTGTTGCAACATCATTTCGAGGAAAACATATACGTTAAAGTGTAAGTTAATAATTGTATCAAATAATAGCGATTGATAATAAAACGAGTAAATTAATAATCCTATTGAGTAGTACTGGATAATGTTCATCGTATCACATTTTGAACATTTTACAAAATTGCATTTCTGACTTTTCTTCAAAAGTAATAAAATTTTAACTTGTTCGATTGTTACTATTCGATCCAAAATCGAAAACTGTTAACGTGCGGGGAGACAGTAAATAAATCAGTTTTAATCGGCACTCACCTTTACGTTTACACGAAATTCAACGATAATGAAGCTCGCGTGAAATTTATTAACCGACGGGGGTCAGACCTCGTAAAAAAGTTCGAAAGATCTGCACGCCTTCGGGGTGAGTTCGTTCAAAGTATGGAATCGCGAAGGAAGTCGTAAGCTGGGACGCTTAATTGCGCAATAAATCCTGATTCTCCGATTTGCAACCCATTTCCTACTGCGGGGGCGACGATTGGTCGCTGTTAAATTGGCGCGTAGGTGCAATGGTAGGTACCTACGTATCCATGTAGGTACACCGACTGTGAAAGTCGGAAGAGCCACGATTCTCCCGTTTCCTTTCTTCCTCTTGCCACAATCTCTTTATCACACCCCCGAATGCGAAACTGCACATCCTTTCTTTAATCTACCTATCAACCGTATTTCTAAATGCCTTTTAGAGTTGACGCGTCTTTTTGATTATTGAAATTTCAAATATTATATTTAGATATAATTTATTATTCATTTTTCTTCGGCAAAACTACATTTTGGCTTATATTTGATCGATTTTAACCCAAAACATAAAATCACATGTATATATTTGCCCTCTAATATTTTTTGAGGCGGTAAACTTACCTCAATGCAATTAACCTTCTTTTCATAATTGATTATTACTTTATTTCTTTTTTAGTACATTTGTTGATTTGTAAATCGTAAACATCGTTTTTCGCATTGTTTTGTGAGTTGGAAATTTCTGTTTTTTCCAACTGTGTACGCTCATCATTTAAGACAAAATGAACAACGAAATATGTCTGGATTTAATAAAAATATAAACAATAAATATTTGGAACGAATTGTTAAATACGTTTATAATATAAATAATTAAACTGTTGAATGTGCATAATTGTAAAAAAAGTTCACTATTGTTTAAAATTTTAACAGAATGTTTTTTCTGCTATTTCCATATGTATTTAATATCAACTTCCTTTTATGCAAAAGAATTTAAGATGCTGTCAATCATGCTGATCTCTAAGAATGTACTCCGTTTTATAGACAATACTTCTTATGTTATATATAGTTACTGCTAGTGTATAGAAAGTATTACCTGAAATAACTGAATCGAATTTTCCAGAAAAGCATTTTTAATTTACAATGACGGTCATTTGCGGCTTAGCCCAATAATATCATTTCTGCTACGCGATTAACGCGTCGTGTTTCTAAATTAAAACCTGATACATTATGTTACTTGAAAAAATTATGGAACTGAACAATTCAATTGATGTTCAAACGGTTTTGTGCAATCTACGATACTTATCGGTGATGTGATATGATATGTATACTCACTCGATAATATCTATTAAATAAATACATTCGTTAAGAATATCAAACATTTAACTAAATTATTCAAATTCGAAATTATAACAATCATTAGTCAACCTTGCTATTTGTACGAAATTAAGACAAAATATTACTGTTTGTAACATAACAAATATATTTACATACATATATTATTGTCTGACAAAATTTGATTCTCTGATGTGGAATGTCACTTACTAATATATTACTAATATATTAGAAGTAACATTAATTAATAAGAATACAATATGTATATCACGCAATATATGTACATATATGAAGGTAATATATCAAGTGTATAAGTTTAAAATACATGAACTTGGAAAAATGGCAGTTAATCTGCAGATTTCGTCGATGCGTTGATTTGTTTCTGCTAAAATATAATTGCAATGTACAACATTTCTTCGAGGCATTGTCCAAATGTTTGTCCCAGGTGCAGGCATTAACAAAATCATACATGAAACTAATATCATTATCGTTCACAGTTAAACTAGGAATAGGTTTAAACTGAATTTACAAATTGTCAAAACTTGAATCTGAAGCTTTATAAAATTTCTAAACTCTCGAAAATCTTGCAACTTGAACTGGTGGCTTTGTTTAGCAAGAGGAATATTTTATTCTTAGAACTAATATTATCAAAGCCTTTCACACTCACTTCCGTCATATGCACCCGCTTTGAAATTCTGTGATCACGATTCAGTATCCAATGTATTTATATCTCCAAAGCTTATACATATATATAAATATACATGGATCAAATATTCTTAAGGTACATAGCGGTAAATTGATTTCATATATTTTCACACGATTTTATTCATTGGTTTCATACATTTTCTTATGTGAATTTCAAGAGTTCACAAAAAAGTGCAGTTTCGAATTTTCGAAATTCAAAACTTTCTTGCGTTTCGAGGTTTCGACGTTTCGTGAATCCGTCTCCAAATTAAATATATGTACAAGTTACCATTCTGACGTCGATCGTGTTTATTTCTTTACAGATTCGGTGGCACAGACGATTATCTTCATGAGCCTCACATTCTTCCTGAGTTCGGGATTGAATACGGTTTCAGGTGCACCTGCGTACGGTATTCGCACCGCCGTATCAAACACGAATAACATGGACCGTTGGTTGCAACCGTGTGGTAACCCAGTGGCGATGCAATTTAAGAGGATGCCACAGAGGCACAGCGTGCACAGAACCCTAAAGAGGGTGCGAACCCAGCTCAGAGTTGCTCAGAATCACTTTAGGATGCATCTGAAGGATGTGCACGATATATACTCGAAGGTAAAGCATATGTAACATGTTCGACCTGACCGCGATTCGTAATTAATCGGTGAACCGAGTCGGGGTAAAGTAGAGTGGGCGGCTGTTTCAAAGAGACCCGCACGTGCGCGTAAAGCAACGTTGTTAGTGTTAAAGTCCTACTTTCCGTTCTGTCTGTAATTTGCATTAGGTACGACGTTCCAGGATCGCAACATTTTTTTTTATTAAGAATTCATACTACAATCTGGGATAGAGTACAATTTTATTTATCAGATTCTTTTGCAAAGTGGTACAGCAGAACTTTTCTTATCTGAATCCATCATATAGTCGTATAATAGTATTATAAATTGTACATAAAAAATGGAATAAGTTGTGGAGTTTCATTTGTCCAATAAATTGACAATATAGTAGTTAGAAAAAGTATAAATAAATGAAAAGAAACCATAGTGATTTAAACATACTTTGTTATTTCATTATTACACAATTGAAGAAATTAGTTCCTCTGGGCTGCTTTTATTTTTCCCTTAGTTTCTTACTTTATTTTTTTAATTTCCTTTGTAGATTAATTCTTCGTCCAATAAACATTAGTCTGCTTGCTATTAAAGGTTAATGTGAAACGACATAACGACATTATCAAATCAAATGCCTCATTTTGTGTATAGTGCGCTGTATAATTATCTGATATATTTATATGTATACAGGGTGTTACCTGTAACGCTACTCACGATTTTTCTCCCACTTGCAGCCACCTTACGAAAAAAAGTTTAGAATAAAATTTGCAGGGTATGAAGTGCACAATAGATCTTAGTAAAGCAAATTTTGAAAACAGTTTGTTCTCTTGGCAAAGTCAAGGTGACCTTGGGTTTCTTAAATAGGAACATACATTTTTTTTTATTCATAGCTTTAGAGGACATCGAGACGAATTCGAAACATATATTACATTATATTTTTATTAACATATTA